TTCAGCTTCGCCCATTTAAAAAATATCAATTTAAAAAGAAACCTGAAATGGAAATGGGTGGCTCCTGGCATGATTCTGGGCAACAAAATTGGCTTTCAAACTCGCATGCGCCTGTTCTACAATATATATTTCAATTCTGCTTTTTTTTCCTTAGGAAGTCCAGCAGTTCAAGAGAAATGGAGGTCCTTTGATAGTCCTGTCACAGCCCTTCAGAATAAATGTACTTTCTCCCCTGTGACCTGGGCTGAACTCTGAAAAGAAAAATATCCCGTCTGATATGAAAGCTGACAGAAATATATGCTTCTTGGCTACCATCTGTGGCACCACAGTCTCTGTTTTAATTTATTATACATAACTCAAGGTATTGTGAAAGTACAATCCAACATGGTCTATAAATAAATAAATGGGGAAAAATATTTGATATAGCAGGCAGCCCGACTTTCTTTAAAAATGTGTGCAATCTTTGTTCTTTTAACAGGGCTGATAAATTTATGTACATGTCACATAGAGTGTGTGAGAGGGGGGCCCTCCCCCAGGAAAGAGGGGGGCCTTCTGAACTCTTCAAGCAATCCATCAGATGGAAGGCAACATACAGATTAACCTTCAATATAGCAACAAATTGAGTCACCTTTTATAATAAAGACATGAGGTCACACAAAGACTGAGGATTGGGTGGGGGCACAAGAACAAAGCAAAAACAGAGCATTGTGGTACCTTTAAGGATGCACAGAAGCCCACAAAGAAATATGTTTGTGAGTCTTAGGGCTCATACATGTGTGTGTTGTTCTCCTTGGTTGTTCTGGGGTTGCTCTTGGTCATTCTACTATTTGTTGTTGAATATGTGAATAGATCATCTCAGTACTGGTATCCATGCATGGAAAAGCCCTTTGTTACTTGACGTACTGGGTCATCCACCATAATTGGCCCACACGTATTCTTTCCTGAGGTCTCACAACAGAGTGCTGTTCCTTTCTGCATACCTCCCCTGCCCTCTCATCACATACTTTACTCATTCCTCCCTTGTTTATATGCCCACCACTATCAAACCTTCATGTTTCCACATAATGTGTTTTCTCTCTCTCCCTCCCTCCCTTCCTTCCTTTTCCATTGCTTTCAAAGCTAGAGTGCCAGCGCTAGGTAGTGGCGACTGGGGCACTTCTCCAGCTGCCCTTCCTGCTTTTTTCAGTCTTCTCTTTCCAAGAGTGCAAGCATCATCTTCTTCCCCAATGAATAATCAAGGCAGTAAAGACACCAGGAAAGAAAGTTGACACCGACTTACTGAAGCTGTCAAATCAACAGCTCACATTCCACCCTCCCATCTCCAAAATCAAAGAAGGCCCTAGTCTACCTCTTCCTGGGGCTCATGAGAAAACCAGGCAGGCACACAAAAGAGTCTGGGACCGGATAATTTAGTCACTGAAGATGAGAAGACTGGGGGTGATTCCTTAAATGCATGCATGAAATAATGGCAAGCATCCCTCTAGGTTCTGCCCTCCCACCTATAAAAGTCATCTATATCTTGCCCACCCCTTCTCCAAATTCAAGCTCCTCCACTTGTTCAACTGGACTTGTGTTGCAATTGCCACTGTTACTGCTGTGGCAGCTGCCTCAGCCTCCATCCTTTGTGTTTGGTCAGCAACACAATCAACCTGCCACTGCTGCCATAAATCTTGGTGCCAAGGAACCGTGGCAGTTGGCATGAACAACAGTCTTGCCTCCCTTTTGAGAAGGAGGCTGCAGAACACTCTATACAGTACAGTATGCAATGGTTAAGACATGTACAGAGACACAGAGACACACACACATATTTAAAGACATGTACAAACATATATATAGTACAGTATGCAATGGTTAAGACATGTACACAGACACAGATACACACACACATATTTAATGACATGTACAAACATATATATATATTGTTGTTGTTTAGTCGTTGCGTCTGACTCTTCGTGACCCCATGGACCAGAGCATGCCAGCCCCCCCTGTCTTCCACTGCCTCCCAGAGTTGGGTCAAATTCGTGTTGGTTGCTTCAATGACACTGTCCAACCATCTCGTCCTCTGTCATCCCCTTCTCCTCTTACCTTCACACTTTCCCAACATCAGGTTCTTTTCCAGGGAGTGTTCTCATCAGATGGCCAAAGTATTGGAGCCTCAGCTTCAGGATGTGTCTTTCCAGTGAGCACTTAGGGGTGATTTCCTTCAGAATGGACAGGTTTGTTCTCTTTGCAATCTAGGGGACTCTCAAGAGCATCCTCCAGAACCACAATTCAGAAGCATCAATTCTTTGGCGTTCAGCCTTCTTTATGGTCCAGCTCTCACTTCCATACATCATGACAGGAAAAACCATAGCTTTGACTATGCAGACCTTTGTCGGCAAGGGGATGTCTCTGCTTTTTAAGGTTTGTCATTGCTTTCTTCCCCAGAAGCAGGCATCTTTTAATTTTGTGGCTGCTGTCACCATCTGCAGTGATCATGGAGCCGAAGAAAGTAAAATCTGTCACTGCCTCCATATCTTCCCCTTCGATTTGTCAGGAGCTGATGGACATCAGTGGGCATGATCTTGATTTTTTTCATGTTGAGTTTTTGACCATTTTTTGCGCTCTTTCACCCTCATTAAAAGGTTCTTTAATTCCTTATATATGTATATGGAAAGCCTAATTTGGAAAGGTTCCACAATGCATCCAAAACGTTACAACTATATGATCCAGATAGAGGTTCGTGCAAGTTCAGCCAACAGCCCAACAGGCGTTCCGTGTTTCAGCATCCCGCCCCTTCCAGCAGGCACCCACTCGATGGCAGGGCTCAGCTGCTATGCCCGACTTCCTCCAGGCACTGAGTGGGCACCTGCTGGAAGGGACAGGACACCAAACGGCAGAACACCTGTTGGGCCATTGGAGGGTTGTGCATGATGCTTCCCTGCCCATAATAAATACCATCAGGAATAACAAGGATTCTAATACCGCATTTCCTAAGCTTTTTGACATCCCATCCCATTATTTATTTATTTTTAATTAGAAACCCTAGCACCTCCCCACACCTTTTACTATCATCCAACCCACTTCTAACAACAAATTTCAATTCATAATTTAAACTGCATTTTAAAATAAACACAAACACTTACTAAAAATTAGTTTACATTTTTTTAAAAAGCACAGAATCATTCACATCTCAAAACAGTTAATACAAACATAGTTTATCTTACAAAACTGCAAAAACAATACAATGAGAACATGAAGGGTGATCAAAATATCACCCTCCCACTTCAAAATTCCTTCACATAGTCCCAAGTTTTGGAGCCAGACCAAATGTGGAACCTTCAAAACTAAAAAACAGTGGCATTCTTTATACAAATGCCATATTTCCCCCCTGTTAACATACTAGCATGGTGCTCCCTGAAAAGTGATCAATGGAACAAATGTTTCTTTTAAATGTTCAGGTGACAATTAATGTTAATGCTAATACACCATGGATTTGTGGGTGAGTAACTCCTCACCTGTTTCTTCCCAAATAGGTTTTTTAGAGCCCAGTTGTGGGGGGTTGGCAAGTGAGAATGTATTTGTTCTCTATTCTACTGCAGTAAGGTAAAGGTAAAGGTTCCCCTTGACAATTTGTCTGGTGGTGTCCGACTCTAGTGGGCTCATCTCCGTTTCCAACCCATAGAGCCAGCGGTTGTCCGAAGACAATCTTCCGTGGTCACGTGGCCAGCGTGACTAGACACAGAACGCTGTTACCTTCCCACCAAGGTGGTACCTATTTATCTACAAGCATTTTGCATGCTTTCGAACCGCTAGGCTGGCGGGAGCTGGGATAAGCGATGGGAGCTCACTCCGTTGTGTGGATTCAATCTTACGACTGCAGGTCTTCTGACCTTGTAGCACAGAGGCTTCTGTGGTTTAACCCGCAGCGCCACCACATCCCACTATTCTACTGCAGTAGCATTTTTATTTTCTAGAATTTGTAGGACAAAGTGATAGGATAAAATGCATGTAACATACAAGCAGAATTCCACTGCTTCCATTCCTTTTGAACAAAATCTGGCCAAAATCAAGCAGGATCAAGGGTTTATTCCAAGCGGATGATCTACATTAAAATGGGAAAATTCATATGTCCAAACTTCATGGGTCTTAAAAAGTAATTTGCAGCTAATCAAATAGCCTTTGATAGTGTAACAAAATTTGACTCCTTAAAACAAGTTGATTTTTTCACCTCCTTTGAATAAAAGACACATAAGGCCCTGAATTCTCTTGTTATTTATGTCTGAGTTAAATACAATGATGCAAATCATAGTGGTGAATTTTAGTTGACTAATCAGTTACAAATTTGATTCCTTAACATGCACCAGTTACATGACTGGGTATAAAACAAGGAAAACAAGCAGCAACCTGTTAACTTTTACTAGCTGCAATTTGCCACTGTGATTTATGCCACTGTACTTGAAATGGCATAAGTAACAAATAGGATTCTGGTCAAGCACTAGTCAAGGAGTTGTATTGTCTCCCACCAGGACAAGATTCTGGATGGACTATCTGGAATTCACTTAATGGACTTTGAAGTAAGAAGATCAGAGAATAATCAAGTAAAATGGAGCTATTTGGATACAGGACAAATTTTCTGTGGCTGTGGAGAAATTTAATCAATGCAGCATTTATGTACGCGCAATGTATGCCCCACCAACATATACAAATGTAGATCTAGCAAATGGCCAAAATAACGTTATTGAAGTAGCCCACTTCTGCTCAAAAACAGTCTAATTATCTTAACATTTTAATTCGTTTTAATATTTCCTATGCATTCATAATTCTAAATTGTGCAATGCTTTGATACGAATAAAGAAAGATAGTGGGCATCTTTATAAAATGTACAGAATTTTGCAAAAAAATATATGAAAACTTACAAATCAATACTAGAGATACATTTTCTTTTAATAAGTAGAATAATTTATTTATGTAATATATTCATATATTTTATATATATATAATTTTTTTGGACAAAAGATCTCTTCCTTTCTTGCTAAAAACAATGTCCATTATCCCTTTGCAAAAGTGTTATAGCTGGTTTGGGAGCTGTCTGATTGCAGGGCTTGTGTATTCAGCTTACAGTCTTCACCGTTGCCTTCAGACTGTGTTCTAGTAAAATATAAAACTTTTAATGGAAAAATCCCAAGTTTTTACCAACCTTTTGAAAGGTTTCCAATTATCAATAAATGAAATTCTTTTCCCTCCTTTTTTTTCCCTGCTTGATTTGCAAACACTAGATGAATGTCTTTCCAACATCTTCTTCAGTGAAAATACACTGTCAGCTCATTCAAGAGGTTGTCAACTTTGTTAAAATACATCCATCCTTTCTCCACTGACGTTTCATCAAACACGAGTTTTCATTAATTGCAAACTGAACTTTCCTCTCTTATATCTTTTCAACTAGCCCTTCTCTGCAATTCGAATTAAAGGCTAATATATGGCTTTGAATTTCCATACGATATTCATTTTGACGGTTTCATAGCTTCATCTTAGGGAGGTTCCAGAGGTGATGGTTGATTAAATAAACTAATGTTTTATTGTGTCTCTCTTGCCAGCTATTCTACAGATTTATTTCAAAATGCCATTTCAGTGCAGAGATAGTTGACATACAAAAACCAAAGCCAGTTTCCAATTGCCAATCACAACTAGAGTAGACCCCCTCCCCAATGGATTTAATGGCTCTACTCTCAATTGGGATGAACAACTGGATACTGGCCCAATAATCTATGACATACTCACAGTATACTGTTAGCTTGATATATTTTATAATGATATTAAGTATCAGCCATTCATATTTAGTCTGCATAGATATTGCCATCTTAATTTTTGCCACTGAAATTACAATAGGAAGACAGATTTGAGTAACGCTAGGTAAAGGGATTTTTCTTTTTTAACATAGCATTGGCAAGATCAAACACAGACATTTCCTCTAATGCACCGTTTTCTCCAGTGGCAACAATGAGAAGAAAAGTGAACATTTACATGTTAAAAGCAAGCAAATGAAACAATGTTGCTCCCCCTCCTGTTGACCAGGTGAGAATTTTTATCCTTTGTACTTGTGGGTGGGAGTTATCCTGTATTGCAGCAAGGTGTTTTTATTTTTAAAAGGCAACATTGCTTCTGTCCAAAATGGATGGCGCTCATCACATTCTATTTGATGGAGAAGAATTTTGCAGAACAAGGTTCAAGATTCTCTTGGCAGGAGATTTTTCTCCACCTTCAACATGCCGTCCGTTCATAAAAAGGTAGCATCTTCTGCCGGATAATCCATTCAAGAAATCTGGGCACATTTGTCCACCTTGAGTGAGTTTCATGTCTTAGGTAGTAGCTTCTCAACTCGGTACCTTTAGAAGAAGACATATATGAGTAATTAAGACATACAGAAAATTGCATCCAGCTCTTCATTTATTTGGAGAACTTTCTTTGCATTTGAAAATATGATAATTTTGAAAAGCGAAGGTTTTCTCATCAAAAAGCAAACAACCACTGAGAAACAGATTAGGGTAATGCAGTGATTCCCAACCTTCGGTCTCCAGATGTTCTTGGAGTACAACTCCATGAAATCCTGGACAGCACAGCTAGTGGGGAAGGCTTCTGGGAATTTTAGTCCAAGAACATTTGGAGACCCAAGGTTGGGAACCAATGCTGTAGTGCCAAAGTACTAAGCATTTGCTGCCTTCTAGATGTTTCGGACTACATTCCCCACCATCCCCTATCTGCACGGGGGAATTAAAGATGCTCCTGCAACAAAACATTTGGAGGGCATCAGGTTGCCCACCTCTTGAGTATCAGACTAAAACCTATTTCAAATTCCTGTTCACCATAAAACTCATGCATGGAATGCAACCTGAACTACCTGATCTGCATAAAAGAGAAATTTCTAGATATAATGATAATTGGGTGGGGTCATCTAGACTTCATACAGTGCTATAGGAGGGACAAGAACAAGTGGAAGCCAGGGAGCAGCTTTAAGGCAGTAATGGGAATGACGCCTAGAGGCCACTCAAAGATCTTCCTCCAAGGAGATTCTGCACCCTAGAACAGAAATAATTTCCCACTTTATCTGCCTCTAAGCAAATGGTCTCCAGACCTCTCTCCCTCCAGAGCCTGCCCATCCCTCCTAGAAGGCTACATCTCTCCAATCTCTTTCTCAGTCATCACAGTATTGCAGCAAGGTGACTTTTTTGGAGGTGGGTGGAGTCATTTGATCAAAACATAAAGGATGAATATTGAGGACAAGTTGCTGCAGGGTCTCTGGGCATATTAATATGAGGGTGCCTAATTAGAAAAACAAACAGAACTCTGCTCTCTGCCAAGAAGAGTAGGAATAGCCACTGAAGAAGTGAGGAATCCTCAAAAGCATTTGACTGTCCCAACAGCCAGCTCTCCGCCTCAATTAAAATATGGATTGTGCTACAATAATTGCACAACTGCATTTCCACACAATTAAGAATCTCACCCAGCATTCTAGTCTTACACCAGGTATCTTCGCAGTACCTCGCCACATTCAAACAATAGTGCAGGATTTTTTTTAAAAAATGCACCCCACTTGTCCTGTAAAAGTTAATTAAGAAAATTATTAAACTTAGGGTCAATGGGTGGAGAAATACAGACAGATGGGAATTCCACTCAATGGGTGGGATTCAGAGGAAGTGAGTCACATTTTAGTCTCACTGAAATCAGTGGCAAAAGGCAGTCGCAACTAGCTTCATTCCTATTCATTTCAACAGGGTTAAAATGGGAAAAGTTATTTCTTTGACAGAATCTCCCAAAATGCATCACCATGCCAAATGGAGAACCCTGGGAGCTATACTTCAACAAAAGTAGACGTTGTCTAGAGGGGCGGGGCAAAAATCAAATCAAATCAAATCAAATCAAATCAAATCAAATCAAATCAAATCAAATCAAATCAAATCAAATAAATAAATAAATAAATAAATGAATGAATGAATGAATGAATGAATGAATGAATGAATGAATGAATAAATAAATAAATAAATAAATAAATAAATAAATGCGACTTTTTCAAAACCCCACTAAAATTTGGCTTGCTTAGTTTGAATACAACTCAATATATTCTATTGCTTTTTCCTCTAGTTCTACTGCATGTTTCTGCCAATTTGCCAGGAAAAGCAAAGAACATTGTATTCTTGGGGGCTTGGACAAACCTCATCCTACATCAAAGACTCAGGACATTTCATAAGCAAGATCAGTATCCTAAAACTCAACCCCAGGGACAGACTGATCAGCTTTGACGTAGTATCCCTATTCACCAAGGTACCAATAAAGGACACTCTGACACTCATCCAGCAGATCTTTCCAGAAGATATCAAGGCCCTTTTCCAACACTGCCTAACGACCAGCTACTTTCAGTGGGATAACAAGTTCTATGGAGTAGCCATGAGGAGCCCCATCAGCCCAGTTATAGCAAATATCTACATAGAACATTTTGAAAAACAAGCCCTGGCGTCGGCACCCTTCACACCCTCAATCTGGTTTCGATACATGGATAACACCTTCGCAATTTGGAACCACAGTGAAGAAAAACTGGAAGAATTTCTAAACCATCTCAACAGCATCCACCAAAACGTACAATTCACCATGTAAAAAGAAATAGAGGGCGAACTCCCTTTCTTAGATGTCATGGTCATATGCAAAACTGACCTCCTATTGGGATACAAGGTCTACAGAAAACCCACCCACACAGACTGGTTCCTACACAAAAACTCCAACCACCACCCATGACAAAAAAAGAGGCATAATCAAAACACGGGTAGACCATGCAAATCGGAACTGTGAAGCTCAATATGAATTGGGCACTACAGACGAATGGCTATTTTAAGAATGAAATCACAAGAGCTATCAAACCAAGAAAACAACACCAAACTGAAGAGGAAAAACAGCCACCCACAAATAAAGTATTCTGCCATACATCAAAGGGGTCACGGACCAGATGGTGAAACTTTAAAAAAAACACAACCTACAAACAGTATTCAGGCCCATCACAAAAATAAAACAAATGTTACGGTCAGGAAAGGACAAAAGGGACCCCCTGACCACTGCAGGAGTATACCGGATACCTTGCAGTTGTGGACAGGTATATATTGGAATCACAAAACGTAACATTCACACCAGAATCAAAGAACAGGAGAGACACTGCAGACTAAAGCAACCGGAAAAATCAGCAATAGCTGAACATGCTCTAAAACAAGCTGGACCGGAAATTCTATTTCAACATACTGAAGTACTAGGTAACACCAGCAATCATTATGTTAGACTGCACAGGGAAGCCATTGAAATCCACAAACACCAGCAGAGCTTCAACAAAAAATAGAAGAAAGTTGAAACCTCAACAAAGCCTGGCTCCCAGCACTGAAAAATACAGCCTGCAAAACGTCAACGAACTCTACCCAGCTACAAGAACCAGTGATCACTGCACACAAAAAACAACTAAAGATACCCATCAATCACATGACAGATCATCTCTCCCCCTTATCACAACAATACACCCACAACAAAAACATGCTGATCACCATAATCACCCAATCTCTTGAAAATGACAAAAGCTGTTCCCACAGCTACAAATACTCAACTATCCAACAAGCTGCAACAGAGCACAGACAAGCGTTCTGACTCCTGTCCTGTGAAGATGCCGGCCAGAAGGACTGGTGAAATGTTAGGAAGAAAAGCCTTAAGAACACGGCCAAACAGCCCAGAAAGCCCACAACATCCAAAGCAAAGAACAATTCAAAAATATGTTACAATTCTCATTTGCTTCCCCCCCGCCACACACACACACACTTTATTTTTAGCAGCTACTACAAGACAAAGCAGTCTCTAGGTGGTTTATAATTTAATTATGCAGGCTACAAATTCCCACACACACCCCTCAGGAAGCTGGATATGCAATTTATTGAACTCGGAAGAATGGAAGACTGAGTGAACCTTAAGCTGTCCTTCCTTTGGTCCTCCTGTTTTCATCAGAAGTGTGAAACACACATTCTAGAAGCTCCTAAGTTTGTCCATAGACACTTCCCACCAAGGTGGTACCTATTTATCTACTTTCATTTCCATGCTTTTGAACTGATAGGTTGACAGGAGCTGGTAGAAGCAATGGGAGCTCATCCCGTCTCGCAGATTTGAACTGCCAACCTTTTGACTGATCACACAGTGGATCAGCAGTTTAATTCACAGTGCTAACCATGTCCCCTGTATGTACTATACCTTTATTTAAAATATATATACTGTATGACGTGTTTGGGACATCAGGAAAACAGATATATGGAAAACTACCTTTTGGACAACACAAAGACTATCTCACCCAGTATGGGTTGTATTCCAGGAGCTGTCATTCAGAAAAGTAATTTTCTCCATCTACATAACTATATAACCACTTCTATACTAATAACAAATGCTTTTCAAAAATATTCAACAATTACCAAATAATTTGTTTCATGTATGCTGCTTGGTTTTTATCACGCAAAGCTATCTGAGTTTGGTCGTGCCTTTATCCATCAAACAAAAAAGACTTTACAATTTTTACACATGGCTGCGTTTCATGTATTATTCCTGTCTTGGGGCAAAACTATATCCTATTGCGGACAGATGAGTCAGCAAGATTAGAAACTGTTTTAGATACGCTTGTGATCAAATAGAGACATGTTTGCTTGCCCTGGAGGCTTCTCTCTCTCCTCCCCCTGAAAGTAATAGAACAGACAATTAACTGAAACATTAACTTGCCTTCCAAATGTAAGCCGCCCCGAGTAGACGTTGTCTAGAGGGGCGGGGTAAAAAGCGAATAAATAAATAAATAAAATAAATAAATATGTTCATTATTAAAATACAGATTGTACGTACCTCTTCACTCAGCAGTTGGATTCTCCTGAGCTACTAAGTGAGAACATGTCCCTTTTCTCGATGCGGTTCTCCTTCTGCTGTTCTGTTCAGTTTGTCCTGATTACTGCTGTGGAAGAGAAACATCACTGTTTTGTTGGGGTTTTTTTTGTCTCCTTAGTATTTAAGGGAGAAAAACATCAACACAACATCAGTTGTCCATCTAGAATATTTCATTCTCTTTCAATTTCTAGTATGTGCCTTTTCTTTTCATTATTTTGGCCAGTGTCCTATTGCAGAAATGCAGAACACGGGGGGAACCACCTAAGTGTACCTCCTGCTCTTCCATAACTGACTTCACAACCAGTGTAAGAACAGGCATGCAGGTGTGACCTGCCAGAGCAGGGGCAGCACTTACACAATTGCTCTTCAACTCTGCAATTGTGCCATACAATATGAGGAACTGTCTTTCATCTATCTGGGGGAAGCCATCTGTTGAGGACATTGTCTTAAAGCATGGGGTACAACTATATGAAGCAACATCTCAATAAAGCCTGCTGTTCTTGAAAGAACAAAATCAGATCGTGTTGCTTTCACACATGCCTGTTTCTCTTTAAATGGTGCTGCATTAAGCAAACACAGTGTAACGTGATGGTCGGGAACCTTTTTACTGTTAAAAGGAAATCTTCAGCACAAATATCCAAAGATGTCCATTGATAATTTCTTGCAGATAGCACAAATATAAAAGAAAAATGCTCTGCTAATTTGGAGGGGGGGGGCTTGCATAGCACTCATGGGTGTGACCAGAGTCTAAACTAACTGGGACCATCAATTTATTTTTTCCCTACCCCTGACATCCTGCTTTGCAAGAGCTAGGTTGTAGTGATGGGATTTTTTTTTCCAGTTCCTGCCCCAGTGGATGCTGGAGGTGTTCTTTCTGAACAGGAAGCTTGTGTCAAGCTAGGTCCATCTAAGCCTCAGAGCCTTCCAGCTTAGGCCTTTTTTCTCAGAAAAACCACATTTAGGAATGTGGAAGCTCGTTTCTCAAGTAGAACTCTCAGGATGAAGAGTTATGGGAGTTTCAATTCAAGAAATCAAAAACTCCCATACATTTGAATTGATTTCAACTACGCTGGGAAAGAAATTTCTATCCGCTTCTCTTAAAACACCCCTCTCTACATCATGCCCTCTAGATGATTGGAAATGGTGGCAGACTATAATCCCCATTATCTCACACCAGCACAGCAGAGTCACTAATGGAGGATGATGGGAGCCTACAATCCATGAGTTTAGAGGGTTCTGTGTTGGTGAAGGCTGGTTCATACCATCGACCATTTCTTGCAAATAACACAAATACCCAAAGAAAACTACTTTTACCATTGGCTGTTCTGGGTCCTCGTGCAAAATCGCATACATGGTTTATCACACCGGTCTGCACATGAGCAGCGAGAGGGAGGCCATTCTGATAAATGTAAGCTCTTGCGATGCTGGTCTGTTGACCTTTTGCCTCTGAAACCTCCTCTGTAATTAGCCAGTCCATATGGAACAGTCCTTCTGCAACGAAAGAAAAAATTGTCCAGAATTTTGAAAAACTATTATGGAAGCTTCTATGCAAAATACATACATTTCAACATTGCGGAAAATGGCAATGCTGAAAAACTAGAGGAGGAACATCATGTTTATATCATCAGGAGAAGCCTTTCTCTTGGTCCCACCACCCTCACAGGTGCATTTGATGGGGACACAGGAGAGGGCCTTCTCTGTTGCTGCTCCCGGACTTTGGAACTCCCTCCCACAGGAGGCAAGGCTGACCCCGACTTTGCTGTTCTTCTGCAAGCAGGGAAAGATCTTTCTCTTCAAGCAAGCTTTCCCTTAAGGACAACAATCCCTGATTGGGGTTCTTAACTGCATTGCTCTGCCTTACTACCATGAATGTGTTTTGACGTTGCTTCTTTCCCCCATCTCTTAGTGAGATATTTGTTTGATCCATTTAAATATTTGTATACTTATTATTTTTAGTTTTAGATTCCAGGTTTCCAATGTAAACTGCTTGGGTCCTTCTTAAGGAGAAAGGGAGGGAAAAAACATTTTAAATAAATAAATAATAATAATTATCATGGCATGTTCTGCATTTCATTCTTTTCTGATCACCCTGTATATACTTTCTCATCCCAACCATGTGATGTAAGTGTGTGTGATAGCATGTACTGTAAGTCAATTTAACACTTCATATACAGTACCTGGTGTAGTGGACTGTCATTCACAAAATGTTTGCTTGGTAGTTTAGGTTATCTGGCTGCGGGGGGCAGAGGTTGGGAGTTCAATTCTCCACTTGACCAGGGTTTGACTCAGTGATCGATAGGGTCCCTTCCAACATTGTAGTTCTATGATTATTATTATTACTTATTATCCACTCATGGAAAAGGCTTCAGGAGGCAAAATCCAGAGCTGGAGTCCCGAAGGCAGTTCGTGGTGTTCTGGCAACTCCTGCGACGTTGCTGGATCCAGTTGTATTGGCTCTTGCCTTTCCATTGGACCATTTCAGCAACGTGGAGAGGGGGGATTTGCTGCTTGGGTAACAGCCTATCCTCCATACTACTTTACCCAGGCTTCATGCTCTGGAGAGGACACTTCTCGATACAGAGCATGTTACCATAGTCTCTCGAGACTGAAGGATGCCTATGATGATGATAGGCCATCATAAATTGGTTGAGTCCTTACACTTAGTTTCCTCCCCAATTCCAGTCAGCCTTTCCTGACCTCTAAAAAGATTCCAAACTCACTCCCTCTTTCTGGCCACTAGCGATCCACTAGTCCCGCCTTCTGGTGTTGCACAGGGACCATGAAACCTGCCCAAAGTCAGATATGGCAGGTCAAATACATTATGAATAATCTTGGTTGGTGACCCTTGTGAGAGGCCCAGTGGACATTCCAAGTCCCATCTCCAGATTCCCCTGCCAGATGCTCCAACACACTAAGTTATGTCAACACTTACTTCACCAATGACACAGTAAGAAACATTTCTAGGGTCACGTCCCTCTCCACACCTAAACCTCAAAGCATGCTTTGTCTTAAGGTGATTTACTTCTGCCAGTGCCAGAGTAAATTACCTCAAGAGGGAGGGTGCCTTGAGATTTGGGTGGGAGAGTGAGAGGAAAACCTGGAATTGTTTCTCCAAAATTAAAATTCAAGTTGGGAATGAATACTTCAGTGGCTTAGAAACAGTCACCCATAATTTAAATTTCTTTGAATACCAGAAGGATAAATCTAAGATTGGAAAGATTCATCAACACCCTCAATCCAAATATGCTCAGAGTTAGGGGCAGGGGGGAATGTGGCATCATTTTTGGACTATGACTCCCAGGTTTCCCCAATAGGCTGGAAGACACTGGGTGTGGTCATCCAAAGAGATACTATCACATGTTTTAATATGCTGTTGGTATCGTTTAATGGCCAACTGCTAACCACTGCCATCTTGGAAAGGAGATTTCC